TGAAACTATATACGGATATTACGGGGGTTATTTTAGATATATACTACACACTCTCTCTCTAGTCTCTACTAGTAGTAGAGAGTGAGTTATATACGCCGGACAAACTCCAAAATATTGTCTCTCGCAACGATTGGAGTCATCACAGATATTCAAATCTCACAAACATGGCCTATGTACATGGCCCTCTGGATTAGGTAATCCAGAGGGCCGAGCTGTGTACTAAATAAAATAAGGCTTTTTTTATTGATATAGAAAAAAAATAAAAAACAATACAAAGGCCTCAAATGTGCAAAATCAAAAATGTAAACAAACAAACAATATGTACCTTTATCCCAAGATTAGGACACATTTGGTCCTTCAATTTACAATTATAAGTACTTTAATCTTAGTATTATTAGGGCAATTGTGTCCCTCGTTTTTCAAAAAATATATCAAAAAGTTCATTCTCTTGTATTCATTCTCTCTTGTAAATATTGGAACAGTCGTTCCTCCGCCCTCCAGAGTCCAGGGCTCCAGCCTCCAGTTTCCTATCCTGGCCACAGTGTGTGTATTGTGTACGGTGTAATACGTGATAGCCAAGCTGCTAAAGTGGTCAATAAGACAGTGAGAGGGGATTCCGGGGATACGTGTACTTTTCTATTTTCAGAATACATTTTATTGGCTGTTCCTCAGTCTAAAGCTTTTGTTTTAAATACAGAGAATATTTAAAAGATTTAGCCGAAGGAGTAAAGGACCAGTTTACGAATCTATTTTCAATCCTATACATTTGATACAGACAATCAATTGGTTTAGCGGTTAGCCAAGGCTTCAGGTGTGACGTTGGGTATCGGGTACGGCGGATGCCGCCGGAGGGCCCTATTGACCTAAAATATAAATATTCCGCCTTGGCTTTCAAGAGGTGTTTGATTGATGTACTTTTTTTTTGTTTGTATTTTAAAAACAACAATATTTTTCAAAAACAAAAATAGGACCCATACTGTCATACATACTAATTACCAGCCCCCAGTGCAGCCACTGTAAACAATTGAACAAGCGTTTCGACAATTCAAACAAAAAAAAGATGAGTTTCCGACGCATTCTGATGAATACACAATTTGTTGAAAATATTATATTTTACTTCAACAACAAAGCCCACAGGCCACAGCCACAGGCCTCCGGCTGGAAATTCTGTGGGGAGTTCAGGGAGAGACTGAGTCTGGAGCTTGGATGTTTATTATTTTATATTGTCGCTTGCGAGTTCGGCACTCCCGAGTCCCCTGTGAGATTTCGAGTCCCAAAAAGTAAAATGATTCTGATTATACGACACTTTCGAAATAAAACACATCATAGTATATTAGAAACGTTCCAAGAAGGATCATTGGCGAACACAATGCGATGGAGCCCGTGCCCTCACTGCCCTCAGGCGGGCCTTAGCCCTGTTCTTGAGCTTCAGGGGCCTTGACTTTAGATGTGATTTCGGGACTTCGGGTATGTTTCTCTCTACATAGTCCAACCTCCAAGTTTGTGACCTTTTCGGAATTCAGAACATTTTTTCGACAGGCCCGAATACACACACGAAATAGACAAGTAACCAAGAGAGGTCATAGTATACTAAATAACAACTATATCAGAAGCGTTCTATACCTAATTCTCGTTGGTTACATATATGGT